TATCGAACAAGAAACTGCGCTGCAGTTTCTGGTCTCGAACAAGAAACTGCACTGCAGTTTCTGGTCAAAATCTGCACTGCTGCTCAAAAGGTAAAGGCATAATCAAAGTACTAAAACTAATATCAAATCACATTTAAGTAGGTCAGCAGTTGTAACATTCCAATATACTTGCAAAAATTATTCTGAAATTGAATTATCGAACAAGAAACTGCACTGCAGTTTCTGGTCTCGAACAAGAAACTGCAGACAGATGTAGTTTATGACAGAAAATCAAAACAATTCGAATAGAAACCAAAAGGAAACCACGATAAAAGTACTAAAACTAAATTCCATAAACATACAAGTCGACATAATCGAAAACAGGTTCTAAAGTACTCATACCTCAAAACTTAGGACTGCCAAAAATCTCCACAACCAAACAGCAGCTTAAAATCAAATCTGATCACGAAACGAAGAATATAGGGTTTAGCATTGAACGCCACAAGATCGCGCCGCAAAATCGAGCCACAAAACTGAGCTCGAAATACCCGAACTAAAGAGAACAGAAATCACCCAAAACTGACAGTCATTCAGCATGAAAATCGAACGAAAACGTAGCAGAAAAAGGAAGACAGAAAAACGAAGAAAATAAAAGCAAAACCTACAAGAAAATTGAGCTCCAATGGCAGAACCCAGCTCTGAAACGAAGAAGAAAACGAACGAAAGAGAAGAACTCGCGCGTCGTTTAAACGTTGAGAGGCAAAAGCGTCATTTAATTTGTAGGTTTACAGATGGGCCAGGCTTTTTAAGAGAAAAGGGTAGAATTGTCTTTTTATTTGACATTTTTAAGCTGGCCCAACGAATCTGGGCCAGCCTTGGGCCTAATCTAAAATAGCTATTTTTTATTAAGTATTAAAACCCAACCTAAAATACCTAATATCTCACTTCCTAATTAGTAAACTTAATTATGTCTAATACCTAATTTTCCTTATATTATATCATAATCATACATGGTTGGTTGATAAGGTGTCGTCACCATCACGATTCACACACAATAGTTATCTTATTTTACGCAGGCCAATTAAACCAGATTGGCAACTTTGATTTTATGGGACATTAATAACCATATAATGTAGTCTCTGTTTGCCTGATTAGTTTAGAATTAGACTTATTTAGGATGACAGGATCACTTGAATCCGATATCATTTGACCATTCAATTGAGTTATTGAAATTTTAGTACTTTCTTGAAACACCGTGTTCATTAATTTTGTATGACACAATTGGATGTCGAAACAGTTTCCGATTTGTCTAATTTTTTGTAAGGATAATCTATGAATGAAGACCTAAAACATAGATGGTTTTGATCATTTGAAAAAAAATTGTAAGGTATCCTAAAGGGCGTCCCTCAAATAAAATTATTTGAGGGATCCCTCAATAGAAGGGGACTGTATATATATATATATATATATTATATTATACATTAATTAAAAATAAATATATTACTTCTCGGGCTGTGTTTGGGAAGTAACCCAAGAATCCTCGTACCCGCTCCTGATTTTCCCTTAAAATCTCTCTCCATTAAGGTCGAGAATCTGGCCTGGCAAGAATTTATGCCATCCCTGCATGTAGACCGGGCAAATTGGTCAAGTTTGTTGTGTTGTGTTTGTGCCGTATGCTTGTTGTGTTCGTTCAAGTTGTATGCTTATTTATATGATTTGTCTATTGTTACTATTATCATTTATCCTTCTTCTTTTTTTTCTTTTTTATTGCCAGCTTACGCTTGTGAATTATGGTCGTTATGTAATTTTCTTTTCTTTTTTGGCTATGTCCCCCTTTATAAATTGCTCCATATGGTTGGGATTATATGGTTTATATATATATATATATATATATATATATAGGATACTGATTTTTTCACTCCTTTTTTATCCACTTACACTCCATTTTTTTAGAATTGTATGTTCTCACTCCTCTTTTGTTATTTTACACTCCTTTTTATCTTATAGTAAAAAGTATTAAAAAATAAAAGCGAGTGTCAGTGGCTAAAAGGGAAGTGGGAAAATCACCACCCTATATATAGCTTTGTTGTTCTTCCTTTACTAAAAGTATTGCAAGTTGTCCAATTACATGAACAAAAGTTTGATAAGTTAAAAGGGTGCGAACAGTATAATTAGTCTAGTAGTAAATCATTGAAGAAAGTTATGTGTTGCAATCTCAAGACGACACTTGTTGATAAATAAATAAAAAGTAGTATTTACCACGAATAGATTAAAATTAATACGTACACATTTCTTCATATCAAAGCCCATATTACATAATGTAAATAGACTTGATTATGCTTATGCCCACAAACAATGCGTCTCACTTTACATCCCAAAACTTATTTTGCCTCGTTTAAAAAAAAAAAAAAAATCATCCTAAAACCTCACTTTCATGTCTAAATTTGCCCAATTCCGACAACTCTGACAAGAAAATCGTTAGCCATGGCTATCTGACAATGAAGTTGGGGATATCGACCTTGGCCTTTCAAGGTGTGTTCAAGAGGTGGTGCAGCTTCTCTAACATGATGACGGCTTGGCTGTTGGGCGGGCTTGTTGACGAAATACATTCTCTTCTGCGCCGGTTTCAATTTATTTCCTTTTAGTTTTGTCCCTACAGCTGCTCACAAATTTAACTCGTTTCGCCCTTGTCATCTCTAACAGTTTGGTCTGGATGAAGGAGGAACCAGATTGGTTCGCCTCCACTATCCAGGACCATACGGCTCCTTGCCATAAATAAAATATGTAAAAGAGAACTCTAGACGACTGCTAAAAGCAAAAAGCCTTGAGAATTTTAGACCACTACTAAAATGCAAAGCCTTGAGCTCATAACATAAAGCACCATCTAACTTCTATATCACGGTTTAATCAGTTTAAATTTCATCAGAGAGTACAAACTAAAGAGTTTTCTTTTTACGTAAAAGAAAATTACAACTGAGGGAGAGAAGAAGCCATTAGCCAGCCTCACCTTCTACACTTCATAGAAACATTATCCAAGAACAGTGGTGATCAAAATGTTGAGCCGTTAAACCCAAAGAAGGGCCGCTGGAGCAGAAAAGAATGATTATATAAACTAGTTAGTAGTTGATGAAAATATTATTACTACAAACAGCATTTCAACATTAGATAAATATTCATTTGAATTGAATTATCGGTTTAAATATACCACCCAAACATCATGCTCAAACGATAATCTCTCAAATGACAGAGGCTTGCTTACAAGAATTAAGTTACGAGCTAATAAAAGCATCAATTTATGTGAAAAGTGATTTAACTAACTTTAACTACTTTAGCTATGACCAATTTGCAAATCAATGAGAGGTGAAGGTACAATAGGTTCAGTGGATACTTGCTACAGGAGTTCACTACGACAAAAGACTAGAACAGAATGAGTTATTTGGTAGAAGCTTCTTAGAGTCGGTCCGTCTTGCAGCCTGGTGGCTTTGTGACAAACCAAGCTTCTTAGAGAAATGTTGTGAATGGACTTTGACAGAAATGGCATCTCCACACCACACCCCGTTAGTGCACAGTGGGGTTAGCTCCAAGGGAGGAGCCACACTACAGCCCGAAGTGGCCGTTACCCTTCTAAACTCTAGCATTTCATGTAAAATTTATATTAAACTTGTTTAATTGTTTGAAAAATATAGAAAAATCTATATTAATGACTTCCCAAGCAATAGATATGTATTGTTCTGTTCCTTCCCAAGAAATGGAAGCTAATTCTTCCACTGGTTAGGACAATAATCAAATTCTTCTCGTAGGTTTGGAGATAAAGTGCTCTACCACTAGAACTAGAACTACCACAGAAAAGGGTAATATTTGGAAGGCCAGATAAATGTAATTTATGCTTTATGCAATATGAAGAGTAATATTCTACATTTCTAGTATACAACATGTAGATTGAAGCTGCAAAATTTAGGCAATCTAATGTAACAAACAAGTAATTGGGCTCACCTCAACGTCATAAAATTTGATATAGAAGCGGGAGCTATCGATGGAAAGCTTGGTTTCCAGAATTTCTGCAATAGTTGAACTCAGTTTTCCATTAACACTCGGTCCAATGCCCCCAATGGAGATTAATTCTCCGTAGGCTGCCGGTTCTTCCGTGCCCGCAAATGCCATAGGCACTGACCCGTTCAGCAAAATCATCACATACTGATGAATATGAAACCAAAAAACAAAGTGAATATGTAATTTATAATACAAGCCACTAATACCATATTGATCAAGTTGACTATTTCATTGAGTATTTTCATCGAACAGTTTATGTTCATACCAAATACGTCAACAAAAAGAACACAAGAAGAGGGAAAAGGGAGAGACTTAACAGACTCGGGTTTGCCAATGATTTTAGAAACGGCTTTGGTGGCGTCCTTGAGAATGTCAGAGGCCACCACTGCATCCACTGGCAGATTTGTGAACAAATTCAACGTCGGCATTTCTTTTTTCTCTAGAATTTGAACAAGGCCTTTCTCCTTTCCTAGAATGCCAGGATGAGTGGTTTCAAAAAGAGAAGGTTGTAGATAACGCCCGTTTATATCGTCTTATTATATGACAACCTGACAAGGAATGTTGTCTTCTCATTCCAAGTGCAGCTGAACACTGGGACCTTTCAAGTAAGTCACATACTTCACTCTAATCTAAATAAATAACCTGAACTTTGTTGGGCTCATCCCTCTTTACATCCAAATCAAACTTGAAGCGTATACTGAAATTATTGAAAATAATAATAATTTAATTTTATACATATGTATCAAAGTGTGATTACGTTATTGAGTCAAATTATTAGATGACTCTGAGTAGACATTTTAGTATAACACCGAATGTTCAAATTTAGCTCGATCGGGTGATTGTTATTACATGTTTCTTTATCTTCTTGTTTCAACAATCAAACCATCATCTATAAGATTTGAATTTAGGTTAGGACCTAGCAAAATAAAGACTGAATGTCACTTAGATTTGAATTTAGGAGTTAGTAAAATGAAGACGGAATGACACTAGACCATATGGCCATTGGCATATACAGCACAAGATGACGCATGTTATGTTAGCGATCATTCCCCTTTTGCTAAACGTGCTTTAGAACGCTAACATAAGTATCTTTATAAACCATCTTCTCGTAGAAACAGCATGCTTCAATTCTTTCTCTTGATAATGATTAACATCTCTTCTTATGTGATGATAAATTTGTGGGAATGAAAAGAGGGCATTTGGCTGAAAGGATCAGTTTTGCGATTGTAACAAACAAATTCAAGAGTTTATAAATAATAATAATAAAAAATAATAAAAAAAGCAAAACTATTGCACATCAAAGTTTGAGAAAATTAACAGAGGGAAGAAAATAAAACCAAATGCAACAGCCTCATTTATCTTCAAAATTCATGCTTAATGCACAAATTCATGAAGGAAAACGAAAATCACTACTATTTCAATACAATTTTCTTCTATATCCCTTTCAAGCTTGGCTACCCAACAGATCAAATTTGATGATATCAGAAGACATTGTTGACCCCTTTCCTCTGGCAACTTTACAAATGCTACACTCCGGACATCAATTTTTTCTCTAATATGTGGACTAAATAACTTGTTGGTCCAAGCAGAGAAGCCACTAATAGTCTTTTGGTTAGCAATCAAATCAAAGCCTGAAAGTGCTGTAGCCTCCTCCCAGACCAGAAGATCCATACCCACCACCATACGGTTGTGACGGTAATGAAGATGAAGGGTAAGATGAAGCACCTAACTGACTGTAGGATGACCTCATTCCAGTATCTAGCCTGCCATAGCTACTTGTAATTGGTTCCTTGCGATTGTTTATAACTTCCTGAAAATGAAGAAGAAAAAAAAAAACCAGTATGCTTAAACTTTCCAAGCAGGGGCCCTATTGAAGTCACAAGTTTTTCATTTTTGCTGGCTTGCCAAATATATGCAAACTTTTTTCTAATGGGAAATTTACATATAAACCAGGAAACCACCCACCTTCTGTAACTAAAACATCGTAGTTATATAAGCCTTCATAATTTTTTTATTTTTTGGTAAATATAACTTTCATCTTTAATTATCTCAAAGTGATGTAACAGATATTTTATATAAAATAAATTTAAAAATTTGTTAATCCCTCCTTTTACTAGATATAAGTGGAAAAGAAAGATCATTGGTAAGCATACCTGAATCAGTTGCTGAGCCATTTGAACCTGTGATGAGGTGCCTTTTATTTCTACGGTAATTTCATCAGGTAGTCCCCTGCTCTCTTGCACAGTTAAGATGGCTCCGCTACTACGGCGAATGAATGCAATATTTGAACCTTCAACCCCAATAATGTCCTCGGCATAAGATAGAGGAATTTGCATTGTTTGTGCAATCTGATTATAGAATGCAACAGAGAAAATATTGTTACCAAAACTATAAATAGAGAAAGAAAGTACAACAATATGAAGCAGAATATTGCACTCTAATTTGTTTTCAAGAACAATCAAGAGTATGCATGCAGAAACTGACGTACGTAACACAGGCCTGATGCAATCTGGTACACTTTAGGTTTCTGATTGACAACAAATCTTCACAATACGTCATACATCAAGACAATTTATTTCTCAAATAGACGAGTCAGTTGGTAAGACACAAAACCTTAGTTTTTCAGAGTCTTAAACAAACCGTATACATTCCTACTGTTTATAATCAAACTAAGTCAAGGACTAGATAGTAACGGATCCCCTACCATCCTTCTAGCAAAGCAAAAAAAACACACTTGGCCCCATTTATTTTAATTACAAGTTACAAACAAGCTAGACTGCCTTTGTGTGTTGAGCATGCATGTGAAAACCCAAATGAGCTCATTAAGTAGGAAGTTAAGCTAAAATATGAAACGGTTAGAACAACCAACCTGAGTAACAATAGGAGCACCAGGCCGACCAATCCCTGAAGAACGGATAGAAGAAAGAGAAGGATCTTGTCCATAAATAGAAGAATCTTGCCCATAAATAGATGGATCTTTTCCATAAATAGAAGGATCTTTTCCATAGATAGAAGGATCTTTTCCATAAAGTGAAATGCCAGCGGAAGGGAGTTGTGATTCTAATTGAGTTTCACGATCCAAAAACAAAGATTCCCTTTTTGCTGAGAGAGAATAATTAGTGCTAACTCCCGTTTGAGAAGCAGTATGCAGCAACGATTTGTCAGCCCAGGTATCTGGTTGGCGCTCTTGTGAGATGGTTGCATTGTACTAAAGATGCACGTTCCAATAATCAATACATAGCAATGCAAGGAAATGAAATTACACCAGACACTAATGGGAATTAAGCTTACCGTCTTCTCAAAAAGTGGAAGAACACTATGATCAACCAAAAACTTCCTCAGGTGAGCCACTACTGCTTCTACAGCTTTGAGAACCTTTAAAGCTTCTCCCTGCAATTCAACAATCCTTTCGTCTGCAGCAGCATAGAATGGAACCTCATCTGCAAGAACAAAAATAAGTATCAGATGCCTTCTTTGGAGAAGGAAGAACGGTTTATAGCATGGAAAAAGGTAAGGCCACTTGAGAAAGAAAACGAATGTGAATACAGGAAAAAAGGGACAGAGACATTAGTTGAATCAAATTTTAAAGAATCTGAATACACTGATTGAAGAAGGATGAGTAGAGCATTTCTAAAAGGGATAACAAATATAATCAAGGCTTGTTTTTCAAATTAACAGCTATATCAAATATTTTAAGAGTGGCTGCAAAACATGATATGAAGACATACTGTGATTTAGAATCACATATTTACATACCCATTAGACATTCTGAAGTTAAAGGACTCTAACATGGAAAACTGACCTAGAACTCAGATGCCAGAAAGGAAAGACGGAGCAGAATGTAAGCTAAATTACACACTATATTAAGCACATCAATACAATTATCTTCACTAGCATGATCATTAAACCTAGATTACCAATAGAAAATCTAAGCCTCCAAAAGTAAGATCACAAAAAGTAATTGGAAAGGAAAACCCACACACGAGAACTTAATTTCATTATAAACCACATAAACAGCAACAAACACATTATACTTTGCATTGGGAAAAAGGTGATAAGATGATGGAGATATTTCCAACCATTGATATTCTACTGAATAGAGAAAAGTTGTATTATGCAACAATGAGAGCATACCCCCAGACAATACTCGCACAGAAGCCCCGGTACTCTCCTGTATAGATTTGATTAATGACCCTTGTTTTCCAATTAAATTAATTGCTTGTGTGGATGCTACCAACAAGCGGATGGAACAGAATGCAACTCCAGCAGGACCGGACACTTTTGCATCACCCTCACTATCAGCTAAGCCAGAGATACGTTTAAATATTCTTATTACAGCATCCATAGCAGGGGACAGAGGAGCCTCTGGCTCTTCCCTTCCAGAGATCAGCACCTAAAAAGAAAAGTGTGTTAGAAAGATTTTAGCATAGAATGGTATCACCGTCATGTCTAGTGAAGGGATAATTGTAGACATAATGTCTGGTTGAAGGGATATGCATGTGTGGAATGGTTGGAGGACTGTGTCACCTCAGGAGCAGAACACAAAAGCAATGAAAGCAAAGGAAACTTCAATCCCCCTGTTTGCTTTCTGTGCAATTTTTTTGAAAAATATGCAGATGTTTACAGGGCTTTTGTTCTTAGATCGCTTCTTTTTTTTTTTAAGTTTTTGGTGTTTTTTTAGAGCTCTCTTGTTCTTTGCTACTGTGGACACTTTGTCCACTGTTTTGTACTTTGTCTTTCTTAGTGAAATTTTGTTTCCTATTAAAGATACACCTTCTACTCCGAATGGAGTACTAGTGAAATTTGATCAATATATCCAACACTAATACAACAGAAATTAACGAAGTTCCACAGACATAATTCATTAAACAAGACTAAAAAGCACAAAAGCGTGTGCAAACGCAGAGCGCTATCTCACCCAAGCAAGTGCAAGGAAGGCCCACAACCAGTAAATTGTGGAGTGAGACTTCCACAGGTAGAGAAGGTACAGAACAAGAGATTGGTACAAGCAAGCAAGAAAAAACGATGATGGTTGAAAAAGTAATCAGGGCCGCAGCATTGGTAAAGAAGTTAATATGGCTTCATGATATTGACAACCATGGAAAATCTGTTACGAAGGTATCAAATCTTATTACTATCAATCAGACGATTCTTAGAAACAAAAATACAGATTTAGTTTTATAACTACATGTTTATAAAAATTCAAGACACTTACTCATATTATGCCCATTACTAATATATTGAGCGTTTGAATAAAACTATGAGCCATATGCAGAGGACTTCACATGACAACAGGTCATCTTTGCCTAGCAGAATACCCAATACTGATCAAGTGTCATTCTCAGATTTCATAAAAATGTTCATAAAAATTTAAGGCTGTTACTCATCTTATGCCCATTACTAACAAACTGAATGTTTGAATAAAACTATGAGAGGGATACAAAGGATTTAGCTGACAGTGGGTCATCTTCACATAGTAGAATACTCAATAAGTCTTATTCTCAGATTTGAGATTGTATAACCAGATCTTTATAAATATTCACTGCAGTTACTCGTCTTATGCCCATTATAAGCCTATGAAACAGATCCAAAAGATTTTTCAAACATGGGTCATCTTCACATAGCAGAACACC